GAGGAATGTCACATAGATGTCTATGACATCCAATAGTGTGTGATGTTTGCATAAATTTGAATAGGTAATGAGATATTACTAGCATTGCACCTAGGCATATAGTGAGTGGATTGTCACATAGATGTCTATGACATCCAATAGTGTGTGATGTTTGCATAAATTTGAATGAGTAATGAGATACTACTAGCATGGTACTTAGGCCTTAGTGGAGTAAGGTACGAGTAGACAAAAAAATACTACACTATATTATGATTGTTTTTTAAGGTTTTTTGAATGATCAAGTCTCCTGATTGTGTAATGTTCTAGGTATGCTGTCTGCAAACACACTGTTCCCGAACACATTGAGTGTGAGACCACTGGAGGCATACCTGTAGTGGGGAGAGAAAGAAATAATGTGGAATGTAATCGTCGTAGTGGCCTTACCTGTAGAAACACACCTAAGACAACATGCGAAGATTACAGAGTTAGGCTTCTCTGCCCATGTCAAAAAACTGGTAAGTTACTATGGTTACACTAAAATTTATCTGTATCAAAAAAATTAACATTTAAATTTGTCCAGTCTGTTATGATTTTAAACAAAATGTTAGTGAGTTAAAGCGAGAGGGTAGTCACCTGTGCACACACGGGAATTGAGTCCCAAGCGACGATAACAACACACGCTAAAAACACAAAGGCTCATGGGTAGATGCTTGTTTGTAAACAATGACACGCTATGGCCATCTGACGCATGCGCAGGTGACGACTTCCCTGCTTTAATAAAAATTACAACATTCTTATTTGTTTATGAATTGTTTATTAATATTTATATTTCAACAAAATTATTGCTTGTGGTTTACAGGAAACACAAAAACTTGCACACATCACGGCAAAGAGTTCAATCCACAGGAAACTATTCAAGAAGAATGTAACACATGGTAAAATAAACATTTCATTTTTATTTATTAATTATTAAAATCTTGAATAAAAATATATCAGGATTTTTTGCAACTCTAGTTTCAGTCTTACCGCTACTGTAATCATTCATTCTCATTGCGAAGCTAAAACCAGTGAAACTATCAGTCAAATAAGTTGTGCTGTGGTTTTATAATGATGTCATTATTTTACAGTACCTGTGTTGCCACTGGACAGTGGAGCTGTACTGAGGAGGATTGTAAGAATAGTAAGTACCGTAACACAGTCAGTAGTTGTCATAATAACTCTTCTGGGTCATTATAGGGTGTGTGGCTTTAAGGTGAAATTCCAGACTCCATTTTAAACCATTTTCAGCTAAAAAAAAATCATATCCCATTTAATATTGTCTATATACCTAATATAGTATATGATTTGGTTTATGTTTTGTATCTTTTCAACACCATACTTTCTTGGCAAATTTTTCTTCAATCCTTTCTTATATTTTTCAATAATTCTGGAAATGAACCCTAATTTTGGAGCCAACAAACAAACTTTGAGTAAATTTTAATTTTTTACTCAAAAAATGTGGCTATTTTTGTCCCAATCTTTTGAAGGAAAGTGCAGACTATAAACAGAACTATTTTGTGAATTTGTGATGAAAAGAGGGAACTGGTGGTGAAAAGGTTAAAGGTTAAGTAATTGCATGCTCTTTAATATACTTCCCACAATGCATTGCAAGGTTGACACTTGGGAAAACTGTGCTTGAAGACATTCTTTATCAATTTGGTATAAAAGAATTTGATAAACCTAGTACACATTTTTGAGTAAAAGTCGTTAAACTTGCTGAACTATTAATTTTTAAAAAAAAACAGCCCTCACTCTACCAGTAGTCTAAGAGACATGATTGGCGGAGTCTGATTGGTCAGACTGTTAGGTGTTAGAGTTGGGTAGCCAATCAGACACATTCTTATAAGTAGCTTCACATAATAATAATAATAACTTTTTTGCATCCTTAGAAATACAATGTTTCTATCAATTAATAGCAATAAAGATTAGTTGTGATAACTACTACTACAAAAAGAAAGTTAGTTGTTAAAAAAAAAAGATAAAGCAAGTGTTACATATCAAATGGCATTTTTATTTCTTGATTGAAATGCATTATGAATATAGTTGCCAATCTTTTTTATTATTA